TACTTTATCTCACTTACTTCATATTGAGATTGAATTCATCTCTTCCTGTGATGATCATATCATCTTCCACAGCCCGTAGCCCTTCAGTAGTGCCTCAGAAAAAAATCCAAGTTCCTGTGAATGACATCCAAGGCCTGAATGGTTTGCCCTTGCTCTGCAGCCTTCTCTTTCTCTGGTCTTCCTCAGTTTATCTGCATACAATTTACACTACATTCTCCTTGTTCATGTTGCTTAGCAAAATAATAGTTCTCTCCAACATGTATCTGAAAAGCTACTTTCTTCATGAATTTATGACCCCACGTGCTGATGATAAACACTTATTTTGGTCTGGGAAATTAGGAAAATATATTTTTTTAATGTTGAGGTCTTTCTGTTGATTTGCTGTATGGAAAATAACATGTGAATTAAAAATATATGTTTCTAAAAAAGAATCTCCAAGTGACACTGCCAAGATAAATCTTCCCATGCTTTTCAGTGAGGAAGATGAGGATGAAGCCCTGTACCAGAAGGTGTCCTCAGAGCAGTGCCAGGTGGAGCACCTTGGGGACTTGCTGGTCCAGTGTCAGGAATGTGGTTTGGCAGGAGACTTCTTCATTTTCTGCCTCAAGGTAAGAACTCCATAAAGTTCGTGGTCCATGTTATTCCTGGCTCCTTCTTAGAAACCCTTTGAAAGGCATTCATCTTTTTTTTTTTGCGTTCATCATTTTAGGACCTAAACTTTAGGTCCCCATTTAGAGAAAGCTATCAGAGGACAGAAAGGAAATCTATTTTGTCATCACTGGGAGAAACCTTTAGTAAGGCACGCATGATCTAACTACTTCCTGGGTAATTGGCCATGGCATTTTCAGTGAACCAAGCAGAGCTGGGGTCTAGGAAGGGTTAATCTTGGCTCTGTGTTGACAGTAAGAACTCTTTTGAAGTTAATCAAGGGCTTTGCAGCTGGAGAGTAATCCCTTAGCCTTTCTGACTCTTGTGGTGTCAGGTATTTGGAGGGGAGATTTAGCAGTTCTCCTCTCTCATTTTCTATTGTAGCCACTTGAAACCTTTTCCGGGTTTGTTTCCTAAGGGCTAGTGATTGGGCTTTCTTTGGTCCTAATCTCTGTCAGTACCTTGGACCCCAGAATGTTCCCTCTTGTTTGCACTCTGATAGCATATGCAGGGTGAGCGCTGCATCTGTGATCACCTACCCCTGAGCTCTGGCTTTTCTCCCACTGTTCCTAAGTGAAGTGTCCACTCTAAGGGCAGGTGTGGAGAAGGTGAGGTTGGTGAGGGGGTGAGAGAATGCAAGGAGGGAGCCAGGTCTGCAGGGGGTACTATTTCCATGCTTCCTGACCCCGCACAGTCCCATCCATCCCCATGCCCAGTCACTTGTTCTAAATCACGGTAGACTTTGCAAAAGGAACTGTTTAAAAAACAAACAAACAAAACCAAAGGGATTTGTTCCAAACTAGGTTTTCTTAACTTCAGTACTATTTCCCTTTGGGGCTGGATTTTCATTTTTATTTTTGTA